CCCTCAGGAGTGATCCTGCAGGTCACTTATGAGTCAACTCAAAAGTCACCTTGTTGCAAGGTCACACAGCACCTTACCTTGCCAGCTGCAAGGGGAGGGAGGGCTTCGAGGGTGATTCTACGGGTGTCCAGGTCAAAGGAGATGGAGGAGCCGCACCCCTCGCACTTGACCTCGTTGACCCGCTTGCCTGTGCTGACTGTCAGAATTGTGCCAAAGAAGCTCACGTTCTTGTGCCCGCAGTTGGGGCACGGACCCTGGGAGGAGGGTGGAGGGAGCAAGGAGGGAGCAAGGGGGGGGCAAGGGGGAGCAAGGTTCAGGCACCTCACACCAAGAAGCTCACGTTTTTCTTCCCGCAGCTGGGGCATGAGCCCTGGGAGGGAAAGGGGGAAAGGGGGAGGGAGAGGGTGGAAGGTTCAGGAAGTAGGGAATGGATTGCTGGGAGGCTCCTCACAGCAAGAAGCTCACCTTCTTGTGCCCGCAGTCAGGGCGTGGGCCTTGGAGGGGAAAGGGAGAAAGGGAGGTGGGACAGAATGGGTGGTTCAGCAAGTGGGGATTGGATCTCTGGGTGATTCCTCACAGGAAGAAGCTCACGTTCTTGGGCCCAACGTTGGGGCACGGGCCCTGGGGGGGGGAGCTAGCGAGGAAGAGAGAGAGACGAGAAGTTTGGCTGATATAGCACCGCCCCTAGATTGTGGCTTTGAGCTGTGGAATGAGGCACTTGTTGGGAGCAATTGTGCTGCCTGTCACATGCATGCACGTATGTCCACATGCAACCAGGAAGTCTGAGCGAGACAGCCCCATACCAGGGAGACTGAGCACGCCCATAGCAGGGAGATGGAGCGAGGCCATAGCAGGGAGACTGAGCATGCCCGTAGCAGGGAGATGGAGCGAGCCCATACCAGGGAGACTGAGCACGCCCGTACCTGCAGAATGAGGAAGTCTTTGAAGATGCCATTGGTGATGGCTTGGCTCAGGAGGTACACGATGGGCAGCACCACGAACCACGTGAACACAAAGCTCCAGGGCTCGGGCAGCTGGAAAAGAAGGGAGGGGAAGAGGCAGGGGACGCAGTGAGCACAAAAATGAGTTGTCTCAGAGGAGGTATACAGTGGGCAGCACGACGAACCACGTGAACACGAGCTTCAGGGCTCCGGGAGCTGAGATAATTGGAAGAGGGAGGGGCAGGCTGGGGGGGGCAGGCTGGGGGACAGGTTGGGGGGGGCAGGTGGGGGTTGACAGGTTGGGGGTGGGCAGGTTGGGGATTGACAGGTTGGGGGTGGGCAGGTTGCGGGAGTGTCAAGAAGAGGAAGATGATGCGACTGTAAGGATGCAAGCCCAGGATGTGAGGACAAGGGCATCAGTAGTGAAGGCACTCAGGACGTGGGATCAATAGTCAGGCAAAGCAGGGTAAGTACCTCGAGTAGGTAAGTGATTAGGGCGAGTACCTTGATTACCTGGGTGGTTAGGGAAAGTACCTCGAGTCTTTGAGTGGTCAGGGTAAGTACCTCGAGTAGGTAGGTGATTTCGAATCCGCTGATGTCATCAAAGAAGAAGACACTGGAGAGAGGAAAGAGGAGAGGGGGGGGGGGGGGGGGGGGAGGAAGGAGAGGAGAGAGGAGAGAGAGTGGCGGAGGGGGAAATGCAGGGGGTAGGGGCGGAGGGGAAGTGGGGGAGAGGTGACGGTGGGAATGGCAGAGGAAGGACAACCAGGCCATGGAAAAATGAAACCGGGGCGACATGCGAGATGGAAAGAAAAAGATGCGCCGCTGGGGAGTCTAGGTTTGAGGCGCCTCAAAATGGCAGAGGAAGGGCAATCAGGCCATGGGAAAATGCGCTGCTGCTGAAATCAGGGCGACATGAGATGGAAAGAATAGAATGCGCCTAGTTTTGAGGCGCCTCAAAACTATGCGCCGCTGGGTAGATGATGAGGAGCGAGAGCATTGCTGTGGCAGACTTTCATATCCACTACTCAGTCACAGACACAAGGAGGGCCCAGCGGCAGTACTTGCACTAGGAGGGCGAGGATGGCGGCGGGGAGATTCAGGGCGGCCTTGTGGAAGCAGTGCACAAAGCTGTCGCTGTGCGACTTGCACATGAAGAGGCAACCTTTCATTTCTCAGGGACCACTCACACTAGAAGCGCGAGGATGGCGGCGGGGAGGTTGAGGGCGGTCATACGGAAGTAGTCCACCATGCTGTCGCTGTACGACTTGCGCGTGCGCAGGCTGCAGCGAGGGCCCTCGATGGCCACCTTGCTGCCCTTGGTCTGCAGAGAGGGGCGGGAAGTCGCGGGGGAGGGGGGGGGGAGAGGGGGGTGGGGGGGAGAGGGCGGGGAGAGGGCGGGGAGAGGGGGGAAACGGAAGGATGAGAAGGCGTCGAAGGATGGGGGCAATGGATCAATTGCGCGCGAAGGCTGCAACGGGGGCCCTCGATGGCCACGTTGCTGCTGGGAGGGGCGTGGAGGGAGGGGATGGAGGAATGGCGGGAGGAGGGGTAGATGGAGGAATGGCGGGAATACGGAGGGAGGGGTGAGTGGAAGGTGTTAGCGAGGCCCCTATGACCACCTAGGTCTGGCGGGAGGGACGGACGGTTGGTAGGGGTGGATGGACGAATGGGGTCACACGGCTGAGCGGAGAGACGAGTCGAGGGGCAGACGGCGGGACGAATCAAGGGAGGACGGCATGGGGAATGGAAGAAGACGAAGACGAGGGCGGTGGGGGGTGTGTTGGGGGGCGGTGATGGGGGACAGAGCGGACGGATAGAGTGTGGGTCGGGTGGAGGACAGAGAACGAATGAGGAGGAAGGGAGTGAAAGGGGTCACGGGCAGAGGTGTCAGAAGAACGCGACGATGGAAAGCGAAAGGAAGCTACAGCAGAGTACACAGCACGCCACAGGAACGCACAATACAGGAACCGCACAGAACCGCACAGCACCTTGAGGGCTCGCTTGAGCTCGTCGTATTCCCTGTCGCTCATGAACGGCTTGCCCGCCTGGTACGCCAAGGAAGCTTCCATGAACTTCTGCTCGTCCTTGGCTGGGCGACGGAGACGAGGGGAAGGCAGAAACAGGGAGAGGTAGAACTGATCATGCAGGTGCGTGAATGCTTTGAATTCGTTCAGAGAATTGTTCAAGATGAACTGGGATTGCGACGGTATGCTTCTGAGGCGGCGCCTACAATGACGGACCGGACTGGGAATGAGGCTCTAACGAGTGTGGCACTGACAAACGAGAGAAATATGCACGCTCAAGGAGAAGACGTGCACGCTTCTAGAAGAAGGCGCGAGGAAGACGTGCACGCTCTAGAAGAAGAGCGCACAGCGCAGCATACGCGCATAGAAGAACCTTACAAAGGTAAACGACGACGTGATGGGTATTGGGGTGCTCTAATCATAGACGACAACACCCAAAGACGAACGACGACTTCAGTTCCCTTCCGCACCAACAAGTGAAATTGTCGAACTCCTCGCTTGGCCATGGTGGCTTTTATGAAATGACCCGAAAGAAGAATATATGCTTATAACGAGTACGTTTGCTGCTTACAGAGCACGACGACCTGGCTGCCCTCCCAGAGCAGCTCCTCCTTGAGGTTGTCGAACTCCTCGTTGCCCATGATGGGCTCCTGCCCGATGTAGTACGCCTGCAGCGCCAGCAGGAACTCCTGCTCCATCTCGCCCAGCGTGCGCTGCCGCCTCTTCGTGATGTCGCAGTACGGCAGAATGTGGTTGTCCACCTCGCTGTCGCTGCCGTTGCCAGATTCTACAGGCAACAAACGCAGAAGAGATAATGAAAAAACAAAAAATCAGAAGGGAAGTGAAGCCTTGGGATTCGTTACCATGTGCTTTGAGATTGGTAAGTTCTTTCAGGCTGAGGAGGGTGAGGTTGGGGAGTTCACGTGGTTGAATAGGAAACACAATAGCCGTGTGAAGGGAAATAGAAGGCAAAGTCGAGGAACGCATTGACTGAGACGGACCTTTCTTTGCCGCCTCTTCAGCAGCTGCTGCTCTGACGGCGAAGCGCTGTTGGCGACCGTGCGACGGCGACGACGCCTGGCGAGCGTTTCCCCATGTCGCTGGTAGGCTGCTGGTGCTCGCTAGTCTCTGGCTGGAGGAGAGGGAAACAGGCTGAGCTGCGAATGAATACGCAGGGATCTGTAGTGTAGAAGCGCAAGCCGCCATGACTACTGCGTTGGTCTCCTACTCTCGTGTCACGGTAAAACTCCTCGTGAACAAGAAACGCGGGTCTTCACAACCTCTGCTCGATGGAGACGTTGAGCGACCAGATAAAGCGGGCGCGACCTAGGAGAGTATTTTTTCGACTTAGTCGGACAGATACTTGAGGAAGAGCAATGAGCAACAGGAAAGCCTGATAATACTCAATGCCTGAACTGAATGCGAGGAAAAGCGGAAATTCGTAAGTCAGTGAAACAAGTCATCAAGAAAAATATGAGTCATCAAGGTTGTTCTCAAGCTCCCAAATCCCTAGGTGGGAGGATTCAGGGAAACGGAAAAGGGGGAGGACGACGAGATTTGGCTGGGTCCAAGGTCCCAGGTTCTGAGTGGACGATGTGAAGAGTGAACGACTAATTTGACGGTCGCAAAAGGTTCAAAATGAGTGATGCGAAAAGAGCTGGGCGCCAGATGGCAAACGACAGATGGTTAACGAGGAAAATATGGTTCGTCATTCACATTTCGTGCATACTTGGGTTCGTGCGACGAGCTTGACCTAGTGAAAGGTGGGTGTTGCGAAGTTTCATGACACTGGTGCATCTCTGAAGTCCTGCCTACGTGGCTGCTGACGCCCAATCACTGTTCTAGGGGTTCCGAAAAAGGGCGAACCTTCACTCCCCTGTCCACAAGTGTGGATGAAGGGGACCAATGCCAGGAGAGGTGGCTCTTCAACGGCCACGTCGCTCGTTTGCTGACATGGCCGAGCGGAGAGATCCCGACCAAGAGGTTCATGATTTGAGACGACTGGCCAACATTAGGCAGAAGCAGAACACCACTACACTCAGGTGGTCCAAAACAGATGAACACTGAATAGTGAAAATAGATCAACATTAAAAAACATGGTATGTTCAAGGTGTCTTATGTCAAGCCACGACAGGTAACCCCCCACCGCCATTGTCAGCCAACTGCACGCCCTTACTGGCAAAAACAACATCCCGAGTCTTGGCTTCTCTTGGAAGGGTCGTCGGAGGCAACATCACCTTGGTCGGAGCCTCCACTCTCATCTCCATGCCTTCAAAACACAATGCAACGAGCGGTCGGCCAGACAGGACCTCAACCACCATGTCTGGGCTTTTCATGCCAGTAATCTTCCCCTTGGAAGAATCCGCAGGAATTGTGAGGGAGCTCTGTGCGTAAGCTGGGCTGATGTGGGTGGTGGCTGGTGGGCCGAGGCGCACACTGTAGAAACAAGGGGGTGGGGGCGGGGGGGGGGGGGTTTGGAAAACAGTAGATTGTGTGTGCTCACATGCGTGCTTGCGGGAGCTCGAAAGTCTATATATGTAGGGTATTTTTTAGAATTCTCAAAAATACCTGTATGTGGAACTCTCCCATGCATGGCAAGAAGCTAACTCGATTGAAGAAACAGATGTGGGGGGGTGCTAACAAGCGAGAAGCGGCGCGGCCGAGCGGGAAAAAAAGGGTCGACCATTAAACTCGGAAGAAGCTGGTTGAGAAAGGTGGTGGAAAGGTGAAAGACTGACCGGCAGGAGAGGTCGCACGAGTACTTCAGCAGAGCAGGTTGCGCCTCTGTGCGTCCACTGGAGAAGGTTTGTACATGGGGCAGGGTGTATGTGGGGCAGGGAAGGTGATGCATGGGAAAGTGGAAGGGGAAAGGGTGGGGGCAATGTAGGAAGGGCAGGTTGCGCCTCTGTGCGTCCACTGGAGAAGGGGTGTATGTGGGGCAGGGTGTACGTGGGGCAGGGGTGGAATGATGAGGGCAAAGGATTAGTGAGGCTGAAGTAGGTAAGAGATGGGCTCAGGTCCATGTGGTGTTGAGCTGAGCAGGCTGGGCCTCTGTGTGGCCACTGGAGAAGTTTTGAGACGTCTCAAAACTAACCACTGAACCACGGATGGGCCAAGTCCATGTGGTGCTGAGCTGAGCAGGCCCTGGATGGGCTTCTGTGTGGCCACTGGAGAAGGAAGCATGTGCAGAGGGGGAAGGTTGATTGGGGAAAGGTTGATGCAGGAAAGGATGATGCAGGGAAGGAGGAAGGAAAGGCGAATGCAGGGAAGGCTGATGCAGGGAAAGAAGACTGGATTGTTGAAGAATGTAAGAGGGGCTAGTGCTGCACCGGATATAGCTGGGCTGGTTACTCAATTGATGCTGGTTACCACATGGTGTGCTCGACTGAAGCTGGTTACCATATGGTGTGCCCGACTGAAGCTGGTTACCACATGGTGTGCCCGAATGAAGCTGGTTACCACATGGTGTGCCCGACTGAAGCTGGTTACCACATGGTGTGCCCGACTGAAGCTGGTTACCACATGGTGTGCCCGACTGAAGCTGGTTACCACATGAGGCGCTCACCTGAAGCTAGGCAGCGACATCTTGATGGAAGGGAGGCGAGAAAAGGACGCGAGTTCTGTTGAAGGGAACAACAGGGATGGACGCACAGGTGCAGTGTTGACAAGGGCGCACACACAGTGCAACATAAGAAAACCCAGCATCTAGAATCGAGTCCAATGCACATAAAACGTGAATGATGAAATGCAGGAAACCCCGCAAGTGAAAGGGAGGAAATGCTGAAGCCGAGAAGGGCGCAAGAGAAGTAAATGCTCTATATCTTCCAGCAAGCAGCAGCACACACACATGGGTGATTCACTCCTGTCACATCATCCACTGACGGCATGGCATGATAGCATGGCATGATAGCATGCACTTGCATATGGCACACCCACAACACAACCAGAACATTGGCCAACAACACTTATAGGGAGCGCGCAAAGGAGTGAGAAAACGGAAAGAAAGTAGGAAGGCGGAGAGCATGCCTCTGGGCGATGGCATCTTCACGTGAAGCTCAAACATGGGTGCGCCGTCTCTAATGCCTCCTCCCTCCCGTCCTCCCTCCCCTCCCCTCTTCCCTCCGTTGCTTGCATCAAAAGAGGCAGCACACCCACTCACCTCTGGCCGATGGCATCTTCATGTGGAGCTCAAACATGGGTGCGCCATCTCTAATGCCTCCTCCCTCCCCTCGCCCCTCCTCCACTCCCCCAATCCCCCCATTGCACACAGCCACCTGCAGGACCGTCCCTTCTCTGCTCCCGCTCTTCCCTACTCCCAACCCCACCCCCTGTGCCTGGTGCTGCCCCCTCCGGTTCAGCAGCCCAGACAGTAGCTGCAGAGGTGAGGCGGCGAGAGGGGCTGGGGCGAGAGAGGAGGGGGCAGAGGTGCTGGAGTGAGGTGATGGGGATGCTGCTGCTGGTGGGGTGGAGGGAGAGGAAGAGGAGATCGAGTGCGGGTGGGTGGTGTGTGAGGCGGATTGAGACGCGGGTGCCAGCTTCTGCACGCAATGGGCAACACGTGGGGCATGGATACAGGCGTATTGGAGCGGAGGGAGAGGAGAGAGAGGGAGAGGAGCAAGAGGGAAAGGAAGGAGTTGGGGTGAGCAGTGTGCGAGGCGGATTGAGATGAGGCGGATTGAGACGCGTGTACCAGCGTCTGCACGGAAGCAGGTGGGGCATGGTAATCAGCGTATTGAACAGATATAGGTATTGTGCATGGATATGACATGCGTGCATGCATGTGTGAGTGTGAGAGTGAGTGAGTGAGTGAGTGAGTGAGTGCATGTGTGAGTATGAGTGTGTCTGTATGTGTAAGTGTGTTGGGGGAAGTTGGATGGATGGGGAAGGGAGAGAGGGAGGGAGGAAGAGAGAAAAGCAAGTGGGAGAGCAAGTGAAGAGCTAGAGGAGGGAACGGGGGGAGGGGGGGAAGGCACAAAAACGAGTTCGCTTGGCATGCATGCACGCACGTTTGTATCAAGCCACATCAGCCGCATCCGAACAAACAAGAGCCGTACCTTGTTGAAAGAAACAAAGCGGCTCGGCAGCCCAACTTCCTGAAAGATGGGAGGAGGGAAGGAGAGAAGAGAACAGAGCAGCAACTTGAACGACACATGGAAAAAGGAGGAAGGCACAACAACCTTGCTTCAACTCTGCCGGAAGACTAGCACAGCATGGTCACCACGCACAGCATGGTCACCAAGCACGGCTAGAGCTCTGGTTAGAAAGGATATCTGTGCCTTATGCAAATGATGCAATGGTCTCTGGCCGTGGCGCTATCCGCCCACGAGATGTTTGCCCCGGGTCGACATTATCTATGCTTCCGCACCTTGATGCCGTGGTCTCTGGCCGTGGCGCTATCCACCATCACTGCTGCCGCCCAGCTGGAGCCGGGGAACAGGGAATGGGAAGAGTTGGTGTTGAGGGGGAGATGATGAGCCGTGGTGGGGGTAGGGAGTGGCAGGGAAGGTGTATGGCAGGGAAGGTGTATGGCAGGGAAGGTGTATGGCAGGGAAGGTGTATGGCAGGGAAGGTGTGTGGCAGGGAAGGGAAAGGAACAACGGGAGGAGGAAGAGAGGGGAGGGGGAAGGGGCGGGTGTGGTGGTAGAAAGGAGTGGATCGAGCGGAGCAGCTTTCAGGAGTGGGAAGGGTGAGGGAGTTAGGGAGAGTGGCGGAATCACTCTCCCTTAAGGGAGAGTGGAGAGTAAGGGTGTGATGTGAAGTGGGAATGGTCGGACAGTGCCCCATATGCTTTTCTTTCGTGAGCATTCTAGAAAATGGGTTGAGGACGGAACGGACAATATCAATCCACTCCACTCCACTGGGTCCCATCCCATGTGCTGGCGGGCAGTGAGGGCAACATGGTGATTGTGCTGCTATCGAGGTTGTTGGGGCGAGAGAAAGACCAGAGCCGTTGTGCTAATAACGAGGGCAGGGCTGTTAGTGTGAAGTGAGCTGAGCTGGACTCACGCGCACGAGGCGGGTGGGTCCCACACGATGCCGGGGATGATGACGAGCTGCGGGCAGCAGGGCAGGTGGAAGGGCAGCAGGGCAGTCGGGGGCATTGGAAGTGGGGGAAGGGGGGTGGGGGAGAGAGAGATCGTAAGGAACATGGCTGCGAGCAATGGATGTGATGTGAGGCACTGTGGCTGTGGGCCCCACCTACACGATGCCGGGGATGATGACGAGCTGCGGAGAGTAGGGCAGAGGGGGAAGAGGGAGGGGGGAGGGAGAGTGGCATTGTAAGCATGGTTGGAAGGGATGTGATGCACTGTGGGTCCCACACGATGCCAGGGATGATGACGAGCTGCGGAGAGTAGGGCATAGGGGGGAGGGGGAGGGGGAGCGACAGTGGTGGCGAGGGAGAAGAGGGGAGGGGATTGGAGGGGAGAGAGGGGGAGGGGATGGGTGGGAGGGGAGGGGAGGGGAGGGGGTGGGAGGAGAGGAGAGGAGAAGAGGGTATAAGAGGAAGTAGGGGATGCTTCGAAGGGTGGATCTAGTTACAGCCTTCCAAATGCCCATTCAGATACAGCTTTCCCAATGCCCAGTGAATGAATGCACCCTTCCCCAGTCGTACCTCGTCAAACTTCCCAGCAGGACTCGAGTCGTATTGCGCGTAATAGACTCCGCCCAAGGTGTAGCTGGGGGGGGGGGGGGAAGGGGGGGAATAGGTGGGGAGGGGGGACGGAAGGGGGGGGAGGAGAGGTGAGGGGGAGGGACTCGAGTCATACTGCGCGTAATAGACTCCGCCCAAGGTGTAGCTGCAGCGGGGCGGAGGGAGATGGGGGGGGAGGGGGGACGGAGAGGGGGGAAGGGGACGAGAGGGGGAGGGACTCGAGTCGTACTGCGCGTGGTATACCCCCGTGGTATACTCCGCCCAGGGTATGGCTGCGAGGGGGCGGGGGAACGGACGTGTTGGGGTAGGGGGGGGAGAGGGTGCGGCTGGGGTGGAGAGGGCACTAGAGGGGGACAGAGATGGGGAGGGGTTGGCGGGGGGGGGATGTTGACAGGGAAAGCGGGACTCGACTCTATCGTTCACCCTTTCCCAGCACTCCCCCTCTTCACCCCAGCTCCCTTCATTTCCTCGCGACGCACCCAGGGCTGAAACCTCCCTTCATTCTGCTTTTGAGTCGACTCAAAAGCAGACTCTTCACCCCGCCCGCTTTCATTTCCCTGCAAGGACCAGGGCTGAGACCTCCCTTCAATCCCCTGCAAGGACCAGGGCTGAGACCTCCCTTCAATCCCCTGCAAGGACCAGGGCTGAGACCTCCCTTCAATCCCCTGCAAGGACCAGGGCTGAGACCTCCCTTCAATCCCCTGCAAGGACCAGGGCTGAGACCTCCCTTCAATCCCCTGCAAGGACCAGGGCTGAGACCTCCCTTCAATCCCCTGCAAGGACCAGGGCTGAGACCTCCCTTCAATCCCCTGCAAGGACCAGGGCTGAGACCTCCCTTCAATCCCCTGCAAGGACCAGGGCTGAGACCTCCCTTCAATCCCCTGCAAGGACCAGGGCTGAGACCTCCCTTCAATCCCCTGCAAGGACCAGGGCTGAGACCTCCCTTCAATCCCCTGCAAGGACCAGGGCTGAGACCTCCCTTCAATCCCCTGCAAGGACCAGGGCTGAGACCTCCCTTCAATCCCCTGCAAGGACCAGGGCTGAGACCTCCCTTCAATCCCCTGCAAGGACCAGGGCTGAGACCTCCCTTCAATCCCCTGCAAGGACCAGGGCTGAGACCTCCCTTCAATCCCCTGCAAGGACCAGGGCTGAGACCTCCCTTCAATCCCCTGCAAGGACCAGGGCTGAGACCTCCCTTCAATCCCCTGCAAGGACCAGGGCTGAGACCTCCCTTCAATCCCCTGCAAGGACCAGGGCTGAGACCTCCCTTCAATCCCCTGCAAGGACCAGGGCTGAGACCTCCCTTCAATCCCCTGCAAGGACCAGGGCTGAGACCTCCCTTCAATCCCCTGCAAGGACCAGGGCTGAGACCTCCCTTCAATCCCCTGCAAGGACCAGGGCTGAGACCTCCCTTCAATCCCCTGCAAGGACCACGGCTGAGACCTCCCTTCAATCCCCTGCAAGGCTTCAGACTTTTTGAGTGCCAACGCACCCAATCTCAGAGAACCCAATCTCAGAGCACCCAATCTCAGAGCACCCAGCCTCAGAGCACCCAATCTCAGAGCACCCAATCTCAGAGCACCTAATCGCAGAGCATCCAAGCTTAGAGGACCCAATCGCAGAGCACTCAATCGCAGAGCACCCAATCGCAGAGCACCCACCCGAAGGCTTCGACGAGCTTGAGTTCCGGCGGAACGACGCGCCGCGCCACGTCAGCCTTGACCAGGTTCAGCTGGTACAGCGCCCTGATGAGAGTGACAATAGCGGGGGATTCGGAGGAGGATGCGGCGAACGTGGGACCGTCGGCTCAAACTGGATATACGTTGACCTCTATTTAAACTGAACAAGATGGTATTCCCATACTCGTTATTAACATTCGAGGAGGAATGCGACCCCACGAACCCAGGCTACTGATTTCAAGTTTGAAACAATGTAATCCGCTGTGACTTTTGAGTCGACCCACAAGTCACGAACCCTGGCTACTGCTTCTTCGCTTGAGAGAATCTAATCCGTTGTCCTACGGCGAGGAACGGCCAGCCGCTGACGTCATCTACTAACCTGCCCTTGAAAATCCACGGCGGACCGGCAGCGTAGCCCTCCTTCGGACGGCTCTGATTGACCTGATTGCAGCTGTTGCTGGCATTGCCGTCACTGCCTCCACCCGCCATTGCTCGACCTGTCTCTGACTGCGTTAGCCACGTCAATGACACGTGGACGCGTGCTGCGTGGCGTTCCGCAAGAGAGAGCGGAGCGGAGCGGTGGTGTCAGGCGAGGCGTGGAATAGTCAGATAGAGCTTCAGCGGATCAGGCAGGCGAAGGCAAGACAAGCAGGCTGATAGTGGTGGTGTGGTGGGTGGTGAGTTCTAAGGGAGTATCCGATTGCGGTTGAATTAGCTGCTTCGTGTTATAAGAGATGCAAAACGTTTGGGTACGGTGACGTAGGGTACTTAGCGGAAACGTACATCACGGATGTTTGATGAGGCATTTGTGATCAACCATGATGGAGATTTGGCACGACATGTCGACACAGGAGCGTTTGATTGGCTGAGCGAATATTCCTGGATTCCATTAGAGATTTGTGGCCTTGGGAGGTCCGCGAGAGACAGTGAGCAATAGCGAACGCTCGTCAATTTCGCTGACTGGAGAAGCTCTAGACAAACCTTGCACATAAAAGAGAAGTATTCATCCACTAAAGAAGAAACCTTAACCGATACTAGTATGTCCACCTGATTGATTTCTCCGACAACGCACACCTGGCTCTCCATTCCAGCATTCCTGATTGTCACTTTCAGCGATTCACAGCTTCTTCTCTTCAAGACCGAGGCTTTCACTCATCCACAACCAGTTTCATTGAGGACCGAGTGCATCCCTTGCTCCCTCCACCATATACGGCTCCATGGCACGCCAGAGGACTTGTGCAGACCGCCCACTGAATCTCATAGCATTCTTCTCTCCCCGTGCTCCCTTCTTCCATGCACAGTCTTCCACTCTCGCTCCTACCACCGCTACCACTAGTGCCACCTCCTTGGCAGAATACCCCTCAGCTCCAAAAACCAAGCTATAACCATCACCCTTGTTCTCACCAGATTTCTTCACCTTTTCACTGGTCTTCTCCACCCCTGCCCCCTCCCCCCCTCCCTCTCCCCCTCCTCTCCCTCCAGCTCCTCCATCCCCTGTAATAGCCCATCCATTATACATAAACCACGCTGCCATGCCTCTTGGTGACAGCCAGCGGTGAATAAGACGAGGAATCACCGCCTGCCCGCCGCCCTGTTTGCCAGCCATGTCCCTCGAACCCACTAGGGAGCGGAACTGCCGAGCGTAGAACTGCAGCGATGGATGCGCGATGGTGGCAAAGGTGCGCAGCTGAAAGGGAGCAGTGTGCAGCGCTGATGCACCTTCTGCCTCTCTACCCTCAATCACTTCCCTGTCCCCTCCACCGTCCCCACCTTTACCCACACCTTCCCCCTCACCCTCCTCCCCCCCTACAGTCACACCTACCTCACCACCCCTTGCCTCTTTCCCCCCTACAGTCACATCCCCTACAGTCACATCCACAGGGGGAGCGGCCACCCAGGGCAGAAACAGCTCGTACAGGGAGTCCAGCACCAGCAGGCGCCACTCCTCGCCCGCTCTGATTGGCTGGGAGAAGCGCACCGAATGCGTCACCCCCCCATCCGCACTCTCCACCTCCGCTCCCCCCAGTAATGCTCCCACCAGCACCTGCCGCTGCTCCCTGGACAACCTCAACCCCATGCCCATCCCCATCGCCACATCCCCGTCCCCTGGTAGTGCCGTCTCCCATCCTCGGCTTCCTCCTGCTCCGGCTCCTCCGGCTCCTCCTGCTCCTCCTCCCCGCGCCGCCACAGCAGCAGCCCACGCCTCGTCCCGTCTCACTCTGTCCCCTCCTAGCAACCCCTCCACCACCTCCCTCACTCCCCCCTGCAAGCTGAACCTCCTCGCTCTCCCCGCTCCCCCACTCTCCCTCTCACTCCCCTCCTCCCCTCTCACCCTTCCACCTCCCCTCTTACTTCCTGCCTCCTCGTCCCCTTGACTCTCCTCGACCTCTTCACTCTCATCATCTTCTTCCTCGCTCTCCTCTCCCTCCGCTTCTCCCCCCCTCACCACACCTCGCACCCCCTCTTGCAGCATGGCTTCATACACTCGCTCCAGGCCCCTCACATCCCCTGCCTGGCCCAGTGCCAGCAGCAGCAGATCATAGGTGCGCTGATTCGGAGGACTCAGTGCAGGTAGTAGTAGCCTCGCCTCCGTTGCCTTCGCTGTTAAATCCTCATGCTCATCCTCATCCTCCCCCTCCTCTCCCTCTCTGTCCTCCTCGCTTTCTTCCTCCTCTTCCTCTTCTTCCTCCTCCTCAGACCCCCATTCCTCAGTCGCCCCCCTCCCCCCCCTCCTCGTCCACCCATGCCTCTCCCAACCCTCACCTCCCATCTCCCACTCTCCTCCCTCCCTTCCTCGCCCATCTACCCCTGTCCCCCTCGGCGCCTCTCTCTCCTCCCTCCCTCCTCTCACTCCGCGCTTCATCTCCCTCCCACCTTTCCTCCCTCCCTCTGTCCCACCCTTCATCCCGCCCTCTCCTCCTCCTCTCCTCCCGCCCTCTCCTCCTCCTCTCCTCCCGCCCTCTCCTCCTCCTCTCATCCTCCACTCTCTCACGCCCTGCATCCCCCCGTACAGCTCCCACGCACCTTTCCAGTCGTGCGCCAGGAGGTGCGTGTGCAGCCTTAGGTTGCACGCCTCAACGCTCGCAGGGCAGCCGAACGACGCCATCTCGGAGAATAGGCGCACTGCTGCGTCCCTTGCTGCTGCTGCTGCTGCTGCTGGTGGTGCTGCTGCTGTTGCAGGTAGCACTGATGCTGATACTGCTGCCACTGCCACCACCACTGCTCCTGCTCCTTCTCCTGCTCCTCCTGCTCCTCCTGCTGGCGATTCTGCCCCATCTGCCTCACCAGCCACGCCCCGCCTCACGTGCATCCTCAGCACCGCATTGTACCCCTTGGTAAGCGGCCCCATGCCCCGCTCCCCCATCTCCCTCACCACCCTCTCTGCTGCTGCCACCTCCCCAGCCCCACTCAATGCTTCCACATACACGTTGTATGCCCGCAGGCTCGGCCGAGCCTGTCTGTCTGCTCCGGCGCTGAACCTCTCCGCCGAACCAGCTGCAGCGGCAGCCTCTGCTGCGTCAACCACCTTCGGCCAAACGCTCACTGCTTCTCTGTGCCGCTGCGCTTTGCTAAGCACTTCCATTAGAGCAACTAGTACCTCCTGACTAGGCCGGAAACCTGCCTCTTCCACCTCTTTTACTCCCTGCGCTGCCCGCTCGGGCAGCCCGGTCAGCACGCCAAAAACTTCCCCCCTGCCCGTGACAAAATTGTCCTGCTGCCCGAGCGGTCCATGCGAGTGGTACGCCCGGGCACAAGCAATCACCGCGGATTCGAGGGCAGGAGCGGGGATTGGGAGCTTAGCTAAGCGCATCTGAACTAAAAGTGCGTCAACTTTGTCGATATCTCCCAAGCAGGCCAGCTGCTGGGCCAAGCGGGAGAGCATTAGGGGAGTGACTGGGGCGCCGAGGGAACCTAGGTCTTCAAGTAGGTGCTCTAGCTTGCTGACGTGGCGGCCTCTGGCGGACGGGCGGCTGAAAACTTCAAAGAGCTCGTAGAGAAGTTGGGAGGATGGGGGGGAAGATGTAGAGTCAGATAAAGGTTTGGGGGATTGGGGAGAGGAGGGGTAAATTTCCCCTGGCAGTGCTGCTTGGGTTGCTTCCCCTGATGGCAAATTGAGGGTTGAGTCAGTTGCCATGGCGCTGCTCTCTGTTTTCCCTCCCATGCCAGTCATCGTTCCATACACCTCCCATGCACTCTCCTCTAGTCTCTCCACCTCCTCTCTCATCCTCTTCCCCCTGCCTCTTGCCCCCCTCTCCCCCTCCTCCCCCACTCCGCCTTCTCCTCCCCTTCCCCCTTTCCCCTTGCCCTTCCCCCCACGCCCCCCTTTGCTACCTCCCCCGTCCCATTTCCACTCCTCCGCCCGTTTCGCGGCAAGGAGCAAAGACCGGATCACCCCCTCAAAAGCGGGGCGAGACGGGAAAACACCCTGGGGGAGCGCGGAGGAGAGCAGGGGGAGGATGTGGCGGGTCTTCCCCTGGGCGGCGGCGGACAGCAGGAGGGCGGAGAGGAGAGGGGGGGAGGCGGAGGGGGAGAAGAAGGGCGCATGTAGCGCCCACTGGAAGACCTGTGCGGGGGCAAGGGGATGGGGGGAAGGGGAGGAAAGCGGATGGAGAAATGTGAGCCCTAGAGTGGAAACTCCTCCTCAGTTTCAGATTGACACTAGCAACAATGGCATTCCACCCCACGTCCTCCCTTTCCCACCTATATTGCTTTTGAGTCGACTCAAAAGCGTCCTACCTTTCCCACCTATACCTTCCCTCCCCCCCCCCCAATCCCTTCACTTCGACCCTCCCCCAAATGTACCTGAATCACATAATTCCTACCCACTCCTGCCCCATGCACTCACCCGTATGCCCCTGACGACCTCTTTCCTCGCTATAAGGCTCGCCACTACAGCGTTGAGGTCCCCCATGCGCATCCACTGCCGCTGCCCATTCAGCATCCGCACCAGCGCGCTCGGTACCACCGCGCCCACCTCGCGCGCAAGCCACCCCACCTTCCGCCTCCGCCACTCCTCCCCGCCCGCCTCCTCCTGAAGCCCGCCCAAACCCTCCCTTAAACCCTCCTTTAAATCCCTCCGCAACTCCCCGCGCAATCCCCTCGTGCTGGCTTCCGGTTGTGTGCTACCCACGACAAAACCCTCCGCCACTGAGCTTTCTGCCGCAGCTGCCCGCGGAAGCAGGCCAAGACTTTCATCTGCCCGTTTCTCTCTGGCAGCACTGTCTTTCCAGCTGTTCTCGGTCTCCTCCGCCTCCTCCGCCTCCTCCGCCTCCTCGCCTCCCCAAAAGCCCTCACTCCCTTGCCCCTCGTCGGCCCCTTGGTCCTCATCTTCCTCCTCCTCCACGTCCAAACCCAAAACCCCGCCGCCTTCTTCTTCCTCCTCCGCCTTCTCTTTTCCGGAGCCTCTAACCCACGTGAACTCTTCAGCCTTGCCCCCTTCTTTCCTTGAAACTTCGCCATCGTCGCGCCACTCGCGCCACTCGCGACCCGCCCACTCCCCCCGTTCGGCCCGCTCCCCACGTTCTCCCCGTTCTCCCCGCTCGCCCCGCTGCGCCCACCTCGGTTGCGAGGCTGCGACCGCGCTCCCCCTTGCTCCCCTCCACGCCTCCCCCGCTCCTCCCCTCTCTCTCCCCTTTGCTTCCCCGCGTCCGCTGTAACTCTTCCCCCATGCTTCCCCCCCCCCGCCTCGTGCCCCGCTCCAGCGTTCCCCGCGCCCACCTCGTTCTCCGCTCCATGCTGCCCCCCGCCCCCGCGCCCCCGCAGGGATCCTCCCCGCATACCCCTTCTCCCTCGTTCCGCCCCGCCCTCGTTCCCCGCCCCATGTTTCCCCGCGCCCGCCTCTCCCCCCCGCCCATGGCCCCCCCCGACCCCGGGCCTCCGCCGGCGCCCTCCCCGCAGACCTGCGCTCCCCGTCACTCCCGCTGGAATCGTACCGCCCTCCGCCGTTCGATCGCCCGTCGTACGACCGCCCTTCGTACGGTCCCGAACCGTACGGCTTCGATCCGTACGGTCTGGAGTCGTACGGTACGGCATCGTCACGCGGACTGACACCGCCGCGCCCCCGTCGATTGTAATCTGGCGACTGAGATGTCTCTAATCCCCTCCGAACGCGGTCCGGGACGTCCAAAAGCGTCCGTGGCGGCTTATCGTCGTCCGATCGCCATCCCCCGTCATAAGCACGCTCTCGACTGCCACCAGAGCTCCGCGTTCCATGAGTAAAATAACTTTCCCCTCCACGCCGATTCCATGCCTCGCCATTGTAATTGTCCTCGCTATAATCAGCGCCGTTTCTACCCCATGTCTTGTTTGAAACGCCTGGCGTTATCTCCTCCGCATACTCGCCTCTTTCCGCTCCCCCTCCCCTTCTCCAAGCCGTTTCCCCGTCATACCCCCTTCCGCCTCCCACCCTTTCCCCCGCCCTTCCGCCTCCCCTACTTCCTCCCCTACTCCCCCAGCTGCTCCCCCTGCCGCCTAACCTCCCCCCTCCGCGCCCCCGAACAGCGTCCCCCGGGGGGAACCTCCGGGGACTGCCCCTGGTCTCATCGCCCCCGTCTCGACCCCCGCGCGCGCCAAACCGCCCAAGTCCGTCGGATCGTGAGTGGTCGGAGAATCCTGGCCCTTCCTGAGCGGCACGAGATTCGACCTTCAACAGACGTCGATTTGTATTCAGCACGGATGCGGGGAAGGAATGTGAGGGGACTGAGGGACATAAATCAGCCGTGCGCGAGAACCTGCCAGGATAAACGCCCAGCGGCGTTGAGGAGACCAGATTGGCCGCCATGGGAATATTGGCGGTTGGAAAATGAATGTGAGATTGAGTGATCTGGCAAGTTTGATCCCAAATGCAAGGTTAAAGCGAGGATCTCAAGAAGCAGAAAACCAAAACCGAAAGGTTTTGGTTTTGGGGGGTAGCGAAAATCGCGAGGTTTGGTGGGGGGTGTTGGAGGCCTCAGTTTCTGTTTCGCTTATTTCGTCACCCCCGAAACCAAACCCTTTGGATTTGGTTTCGTGCTTCTTGAGATCCTCGCTATACGCCTGCGAGGGGTTTGGAGGGGTTTGGGGTTCAAGCCTGTGATGGATTGACCCAGGATTCCTCGTTATACGTCTGAGGCCAGCGTGCTTCCACATCGTACAAGACGAGCGCAACCAACGGAGGAGGTGTATACTTGAAACGGAAAAGGTGGAATTTGAAGGACAGGTGTTGCTGAACGAGTAGACGAAGAGTGAGATGCACAGGCAGGAAAGAAACGAACTAAGATTTGCGTGCAAGGTTGGATCTTGTGAGCACAGTCCATGTTTCTCCATCTGCAAAAGAGGGGCAATCACTTTTTGCATTATCACCCAGGCCCCTCTCCACTTGACCGGACGGCCGGCCTCCGAATGTTTATCTTTTAGAACCACATTTCTTCCTCCTAAGCAAAAGTGAAAACAGGATTCGCCATCAGGGCATCTCACATGCCATCACGATCCATGTATCTGACTCTTGGGAATCAGAATCCGGTGGGAAAATACCAAACCCTCTCTGGCAGCTGGCATACTCATGCAATCCCGAGGACCCTTTGGAATCCTGCGATCCCCCAGCCAATAAGGATAGGGCATGGAGCCGAACCAATCCCAGGACAGAGCAGATAATGGGGAGCCAAGGTCTAGGACTGAAGACTTGGCTTAGCTGAGGCTGCTTCACGAGATTGTCTCCTCGCAGATGGACCTCCTGAATGTTTGGCAGCCGCCCGAGATTCCTGGGCAGCCCATCCAGGGATGGAAGGTCTGAGAGCTCTAAACACCGAAGCCATGTCATCTGCCCGTGTTGAAGGCCTTTTGGCAGGGTGTGAAGATTTAAGCAGTCAGAGACCACCAAGACTTCCAACCGGGGTAGGCTTGAAAGGGACTCGGGCAGTTCGGAGATTTCGTCATTCATGACCACAGCAAGCTCCTGCAGTTGCGTCAGCTGCCCGATGTCTTCAGGCAGCGACTGAAGCTTCCCACACCTGCAAATTGACAGGCTGGTGAGTGATTTCAGGGCAGTCACGGATGGTGGTAGCTGTTCCAAGACCAATGACCCAGTCACCTCCAGAATCTGCAGGTTCTGCAAGTTTCCAATCCCATCAGGCAGGGAAGATAAAGACCCGCAATGCATGATGCGAAGACTCTTGAGCCTGGTCAGCAGAGACGCGGATTCTGGTAACCGTTGGAATGCTGGGCACATCATCAAATGCAGCTTCTCCAGGCTTGAGAGCTGCCCCAGGGACTCGGGCAGAGTCGAAATTTCCGGCAGGCGAATCAGCTCCAGAGTCTTGAGAGAATGCAGGTACCCGAGATCTTCGGGCAGTGAATCCAAGATTGAGCAGGAGAGGAGCTTTACGGAGAGAAGAGAAGGCAGCTTGCAAAATCCCTCTGGGAGCTTTCCCAGCTGCGGCAGATTCAAGCAGAGGTGTTTGAGGCTGGAGGGCTGTTGACCGGAGATCTCGGGCAGCACCTGGAGATTTTCGCAGGAGAGGGTCAGCTCTTGAAACGATCCCCATTCGCCCAGGGTTTCAGGAAGATTATGGAGGCTTCCAGATTCAATCTCCAGAATCTGAAGCGAAGGAAAGGAGTTCGGGATCTGGGATGGCATTGACTTAACGCCATGAGCGCATAACCGGAGGTGCTGGAGGCGGGGGAGAGATAAGAGCGAGGGAGGTAAGGAGGCGAGGGAGCCTGGCAGGACCAGGGACAGCTGCTCCAGCGCCGTGCAGCTGTGGAAGAAAAACTCCAGGCCACGGAGATAGAAAATACTGCTGCTGAGGTCAGGGGAAACTCGTGCTTGAGAAACTGGCTGCTGTTTCTGAGCAACGGATTGTTCTTGAGTCAAGAACGGTACTCGAGCCGATGGGGGATCTGGAGGTGATAGTGATAGTTCTTGATTTGAAGCTTGGCCATGAGTTGATGCTTGGTCTTGAATGGACTCCTGCCCAAGGCTGAGGTCCGGCAGGGAGAGGCTGATCAGGTTCGGACAGGTTCGGCCGAGGCGGTGGAGGAAGGTCGCAGGAACACGTGTCATGCTCTGATTCGCCAGCTGGAGGCTGGTGAGGTTGGGGAAGCGGGAGAGCGACGCAAGGAGGAGATCGCCTGAGATGCTTCGGGATTCGTCCACGTGGACTGCTGATCTGGCGAGCTGAGCGAGCCGCAGCCACCTTTTACACGTCAGCGCGTGGGAGAAGGACGAGGGACAGCGGAGCGAGACGAAGCGAAAGATAAGTCTAAGAGCCTCGTCAGGAAGACTTTCAGAAACGGTTTCATGCTCGAAACCGCTAGACCTTGTGGTACGAGAAGGATCCATGACGCTGAGATAGGCACGAGGCGACTGCGAAGGATTACGTGGACTACGAATAACCTACTACCGCCGAAAGGATCCCGAAGCACCGCGTCCTTTTGAAGGGCAGAAGCACGCAAGCATCAACACGCATGCTTTGGAGGAGGGTGTAGCGAGGAGCATAAGAACCTGCGAACTACATAACGCATAAGAGAAACTGCGAGGAGCTGAGCTGAACTGGCTCAAGTGTGGTGCTGTTGGTGGTGGCACACCGTCATAGAAACGAGTGGTCACCTGTTGGCGAGTGTGGCACGGAACAAGCGGTTTGTAGCATATTCGTTTCTACTAAACGGTCTGTACAATGACGCATACTATACTACCAAGCTACAAGCACACCCAACCAACATTACCACCCTATTTCCTTTGCACCCTTTCCTTCCTCATATAGGGAATGGTCGAATGACCCAGAATTCTAACCTTGAGCCGCCAGACGGAAAAATAAATTGCGTTGAGAAGCTGCTGTATGAGCAGCAGTTGCTTGAGGATGTAACGCAAGAGGGCCAAATGTCATCCAAAAGGAAGATGGCTTTGGGTGAAATGATGCTTCAAGCTGTGGCGTCTTGGCAAGATTAACGCCCTTCAGCTTCACCACTTCAATGCTTGGGAGCTTTCCTAGGTTATTAGGCAACTTAGGCAGGCACGGGAAATGAGAAAGCTCTAAATGCGTTACGCTCTTCAGCTGTTCACCACCCACGCCCTTGGGCAGAAATCGAAGCTGTGGGTACTCTGAGATTGCCAGGCGCTCAAGCTGTGACAGGAAAAGCAGTGAATCTGGAATCTCCCGCATGCAATAAATCGCAAGGAGTTCAAACTGTCAACTTATACATATATTGTTATGTAGAAGTTATAGGCTAGATAGGGTATTCTCTTAGTGGGTACTACCCAAACTCTATATTTCCCTTGTTCTCCTTTCTTCTAATCATACTTTCTAGTCTTAACATGGTATCACGAGTAGGTAGGTCCACCCACCCGCTTCCGCCACGTGCCGCCACCTACCGAACCCTCACGCCCCTAGCCGGCCACGTTGCACCCTAGCAGGCCCCGTCGCGTCCCTAAGGCCCCATCGCGCCCCTAGCCGGCCCCGTCGCGCCCCTACGGCCCCGTCGCACCCCTAAGGCCCCATCGTGCCCCTGATCGGCCCCGTCGTGCCCCTAGCCGACCCCGCGCGCCCCTACGGCCCGTCGCGCCCCTTGCCGGCCCCATCGCGCCCCTCGCCGGCCCCGTCGCGCCGCTAAGGCCCTGTCATGCCCCTACACCCCGTCGCGCCCCTACCGGCCCCGTCGCACCCCTACAGCCCTGTCGCGCCCCTACGGCCCCGTCGCATCCCTAGCCGGCCCCGTCGCGCCCCTACCGGCCCCTCGTGCCCCTCGCCGGTCCCTCGCGCCCTACCGGCCCCTACAGACCCTCGTGCTCCTACCGGCCCCACGCGCCCTTGCCGGCCCCGCTCGCCCTAGCCGGCTCCCCTTGCACCCGAGCCGGCCTCGTCGCCTACGCCGCCGAGCCGCCGTGTCCCCGAGCCGCCGAGAACCCGCGCCGCCGAGCTGCCTAGCCGCCGAGCCGCCGAGCAGCCTTGCCGCCGTGCCGCCGAGCCGTCGTGTCGCAGTGCCGCTGCGTCGCTGAGCCGCTGTGTCGCTGTCACCCTGTGCGATGGCAGACGCCGTTCTTCGCCTGGACGCTGAGGGGCACGCGATCGACTTCGCCGCCTGGCTCGTCGACCTCCGCCGGCACCTGACAAGTCAGCGCCAGGATGCGCATTCCCTGGCAATGCATGTTCATGGCTTGCTCCCCTGCCCCCTTGCGCCTGATCCCCTCCCTGCTAACCCTACCACTGCTGTGAGCGAGGCCTTTGCTGCTGCTGCGCTCGCTCACTCTGCCTGGTATTCTTGCGATGCGGTAGCTCAGCTTGTCATTAGCCATGCCCTCCCCCTGTCTGAGCGTCCGCGCTTCACCACTGTTGCGAACGCCAAGGACTTTCTTGCTGCAGTAGTTGAGCGTTACTCCAATCCTGCTTGGAGTGTTTTCGGATCGTATTACTCTGTGTTCTCTAGCTTAGACATAGCACCTGTGTGCAATTCAGACTCCCCTGCTGCGTCGGGCGTAGGACAGTTTGCTTGTCTAGCCTAGGCTCTACCCTTGCTCCTCCGTCGTCGGCCACTACGCCGTCGCTGTCCTTCACTCTAGACTCCGGTGCGTCAGCCTGTTTCTTCCGCGACCATGCCACCCTCACGCCGTTTGCTGCACCTGCCGCTGTCACCCTTGCGGACCCCTCCTCTGGTCCTGTACTTGCTCGCAGCTACACTGCCCTTCCCTGTCCGGCGGTTCCCTCGGGTTCCCTTACAGGCCTGCACATCCCTTCGTTCTCCAGGAACTTAGTTGGTGTCGGCTGTCTTCAGGACCTCAACGTCACCACTACGTTCCCTAGTCACGAGCCGTACGCGGTCTAAACCGAGACCGCCTTAGATGCCCCT